TTTTTATTAAAATTAATATATAATAAATATTTTATTATATTTATATATATTTAAACTATAAAGATTTAACTATATTTAAAACTTATATAAATATATTTAAATATAAAGTATTATTATTTAATTTAACTAATAGCTTAACTACCTTTTAACGGTATATAAATAAAATTATAAACAAATATTTAAATAATTTTTATAGCGTATATTTTAATAATATTTTAATCTATTTTAATAATTTAATTAAACATTAAAAGCATATTTAAAAAGTTTTAAAGTAGCTCTAATAGGTAGGCCTATAAGCTAACCTAAAAAAATATAAATTCTATATTACTAAAATAAAATACCTAAGATTTATTATAAAATATAATAGGATTAAAGTTAACCCTAAAAAGATTATTATAATATATAATTAAAATAAACTAATTAATATAAAGGCGGTATAATTATTTTTAAAATTTTATAACTTCTTTTAATAATTTATTAAAAAATATAACTAAATTATTAAACTATTATATAACCTTATTAAAAAAGATATTATTTTCCATTAGGATAACATTTATTAAAAGGTATTTAATTAGTTTAAAATTTAACTAATTAAAGCATTAATACTTACTTACTTTAATTTTAATAAAGAAATTAAAATAAAAATAAATACATTAAACGGAATTTATATTAAATGCTTCTTTTAATAAAGGAAAAATAATAAATAATACCCTATTACTTTTTATTTTAAAATAATATATAATGTAGAAATAAATTATAATATCCTTAATAAAAAGTTATTAATAGTAATTAAAGGATTATAATTTTAGAAACTAAAGTTAATTAATACCCAATAAAGGGACCCCTTCTTTATTATTATTAATTATTAAGCTTTAAAATACTTTAACATTAAATAATAGTTAAACCTTTATTAAGTTAAATGGGTTAACTTATTTGCCCAATATAACTTTTTAATTATTTATTAATTAAGTAAAGAAAATATAATAATTAATGCTCTATTATAAAAATAAGAAGACCTTTATATATAAAAGGTTAAAAAAGAGGAATATTAATATATAATAATATTTTACTTAATAATAAAAAACCCTAATATTAACCCTTCCATTAATAAACTATTTAATTTTAATAATGTTATAAAGGTTATTAATACTATAGAAATTAATATATTCTCCCCCTTTATATTATTAATGGATAAAATTCTCCAATATAACTAGAACTTGGATACACTTACCTTTTATTATAAGTATACCTTAAGTTACAATAAGAATTAATGTATAAATAAAGGACTGGTTATTTATAAAGGTAGACTAATAGTGCTTAATATAAACTTTATATATATATATATTATTTAAAAAGCATATAACCGGATTACTATAGCCTACCCTAGCTGGAATAAAATAAAACAGCTAGTAACCGCCTAGTATTAATAGCCCAAATTAAGAAAAGATTGCAAAACTTACATTGCAAACTGTATAACTTGTTAACCCATAAAGGTCCCTTATAATAAAACTTTAGGTTTCTTATAACCTACACCTATACTATTAAGACCATTCCGTTATATTATAATAGACTTTAAGAAAATAGCAATAAATAATAAAAAAGGAAAGAATATCTTTATAATAGTAAATAAATTAAATAAAGTACTATAATTAATGCCTTATATTAAAGAAGTAACTGCTTAAAAGGCAGCTTGCCTATATTATAAAGGTCCTTTTTATATATATAAATTATTTAAATAAATAAACTTTAATAAAGGCCTATAGTTTATCTCTTCGTTTATAAATAAAATAATTAAAATATTAAGCATTAAATAGAAGTTATTTTTAATAAAACATTATAAATTAGTAGAATAGGTTAAAATTGCTATTAAATATCTAAATTAAAGGTTATAACTATATTATAATTATTATTAAAATAATTAAGGCAACGCTTTACCTATTATAGATTTTGCTGCTGCCTTATTGCTATATAAATTAATTAAGTTATAGCCCTATAAAGTTCTATTTAAATTCCTAATATTAATATACTATAATTAAATAAGTTATACTATTAATATAATTAAACTTTTTATAAAGGAATAATTAAATTATAAAGAAGCTTAATAGTAATTTAAAACTATTAAAAAATATATTAATATAGTTTAAACAATTTTTAAGCAAACGTAAAATAAAATAATTAAATAGGAAAACCGTTACTATAAAGAACTAGACTTTAATATAGATAACTAGGTGTTTATCTTAAAGAAAAGGTAATTATAAGCAACCAATCGTCCTTCTAATAAGCTTAATTATCCTATAATGCAATAATACTTTAAAATCGTTAAATAGATCAAACCTATTACTTACTATTTCAAGGTCCTTAATAATTAACAATTAATAAACCTTTACTATATTAACTAATTATAAAAATACCCTAATATATCTTTATTAGGATAGGTAGCTAAATAACCTAATAATAAAATTATTAATCTTAATACTAATAAAGAAGAATAGGAAGTTAAAAAAATCAAAATATCCTAACTATATTATAAAAAAACCCTTTAATATTAAATTAATTAAAAGGATTAAAACTTTAATAATTAATAATACCCTGTTAATAATTTTAAAAATTCTTTAAAGTTACTACTTAACTTTTATAAAAAGAACTTAAAATTTATAAAACTATTAAAAAAATTAAAGGATTAGTTAAAGGCTATAAAGAAGGATAGGTTTAATAAGGTATACCTTAATAATAACGTATTAAAGGATATATAAAATATACCATTATATAAATTAAAAAAAAGGAATATAATAAATACTATTATAAGTAAACTTAATAGGTATAACTTATAATATATTATAAAAATACCTAAAGCGCTTTTATAGATTAAAGGCTTATAATATAATAATAAAAGGGTAGAAACTTAAAGCTATCCTTCCTCCAGCTAGATAGCAATAATGCAAAAGCTACAAGTTTAATTTTTAAGGCAAGAATTTTTTAAAGGGGGGGGTAGTTATAGTAGCTGGCCTAGTAACCCACCTAGGGCTTAGGGCCCAAATAGCTATACTATTATACATATTATAATTACCATATAACTATTGCTTCACTATATATATTAAAATACTTTACCATACTTTTTATATTTAAAATATTTCCTCCATTCTCCATTTTATAATAAATATATAAATAGTACCCTAATATAAGCTTTACTTTATATATAACACTTTAATTATAACAATTAATATAAGTTAATCCTTTTATTTATTTAAATATATAAATAATAATAATAAAATTTTATAAAACCTTTTAATTTAACTTTAATATTTAATATTTAATAAAGTTATATAGCTTCTTTAATTTATAATATAAAAATATTAAGTAATATTATAAATTAAGCTTATTTAATTAAAGGGTTTAAAGTTTTTAAAATAAAAATAATAATAATAAATATATATAATATTTCCTTTTCTTTTAATTAGTTAATAAATATACTTTAATAATTAACTATTTAACTATAAAAAGTTATAATTAAGCTTAACCTACTTTTTACTTTTTATATATTAGATAAAATTAATATACCTATAAGCTTTAAATATATTGCTAGGATTTAGCCTATAATATAAATTATATGCTATTTGTATGGTGTGGCTACTTTAGTTCAAATGGAGTGGATGTGCGGCCAACCTAGGGTACATGTGCGGCCAACCTAGGTGGCCTGCCTTACGGCGACTGACTACTCTACCAAGTAAGTTGGGCTGAATCATTCGAACAAGCAGACAGTTATGCCGGTCGGTAGATGGCCAATCATAGGAGACAGCCCACCTGCCTAGATAGGCAGGCTTACCTAATTAGGCAGTGTGTCTTCCCTGCTTCTACATACTTACCTAAGTACTTACCTAGGTAAGTAAGTACAGCACATACCTAGCATGTAAAACGCTGTGCTGGGTTTACCTTTGTTTAGTTTAGTTAGTGCTTTCACAGCCTCGGTTAGTCGCATTAGTTATGACTCCCTCCCAGACCCTCACTACAACACGAAGTGGACATCGTGGAGAAGCATGCCATGATTTCACCGACGACCCTTCAACCTTGATAGACCAGGAGAAAGGACAAGGAAGAGAGTGGAATTTGTCTATCGTAAAGGGATATTGACGATCCACATTTTAACAATACTTGATTACTTATGCGTCTCAGTACAGCATCTCACCGAGCTGCTGCCTAGTACAAACTACGGTACTACCATATCTTACCGCCCCCAACGATTCTGGGATGGTCAGTCTTTCAGCACCTTTGACAAATGTGACTACGCCGTATCTGCATGGAGACCGTTGCTACAAGCTTTCGTATGCAAATTTGTGTGTGGTCATGGAGTTGACTTGCCGTCTTAAGTTTTGTTTCGAAGTGGTGAGCACTTAGCAAATGCGGTAGGTAAGTCTCTCCCTCCTCATAGTGTATACCAAACATGCAGACTCGCCTCTCTCCCCACAATGACAAGTCACTCATTATCCCCATTCTTGATTGGCGTGGGTAAGATCATCTAGCAGGTATACACTTATGCAGTCAAGGGCATGGCATTGCCGTGCTTGTCATATGGATGCTCGTATGCCATTGGGTTCTCGCTTGTAGGCCCACATAAGTCTGATGTCTCAAGCGCACAAACTCACCACCACGCAAGGACTGCAAGGACGTACATACAGCAAACGGTTGGTCAAGTGTCCGGCCGCCAATAGGAGGCATGCAGCCTTACCGCTCTGGACCTCTTTCAACGTGGGTGCAAGCAGGCTAGACACCACGGCGGTGCATAATTGGTCTACAGCTGCCTGGCATCCTTTGAGATGCCATATGAATCAGTCGCCGCTGATGGGCAAGGGCTGCCTCCGTTCTGTTTCGTCATCGTAGCCTTCTCTGGAATACAAAAGACAGAGTCGTCCCTCCTTTTTTTCCATCTCAAGTTTGTATGTGTGACAGTTGGTCTCAGGACTCGCCTGAACTTACCTACCTCGTATCCCCATATTCGATATACTGCTTTCATCGAGACAGGTGCAGCTGTGTTTGACTGACCATATCCCTTGTTTCTCTCTACAATTCTTCTCTTCGACAGGAGAAACTTCATCTCTGTCCTCTACCTCGTCTCTCTCGGTCCCACCTAATGGCAGACCCTTCATTATCGTCCTGCCCATCCTATGGGGCCGGACCTACACAAAATGCAGCCTTTCCTGGGTCACCTCCCCCGCAACTGGCCCTTCTGGACATGTTCTTCCCAGGGTTCTCTATGTTTGCAGGCGCTTTTCAAAGATACTTCTATGTTGACTTGAATCTCTACATCCCACTTCTGCTCTTCCTTGGCATGCTCATGGTGTGCTGGAACTATGCCAGCGGTTATCTTTGGGACCAGGTAGAGACCTATTTCATGTCCGTCGTCGACATCAGGACGGACGATGAGATTTACAACATATTGATGGCTTGGGTGGCTACGCAACGATTCTCCCAAGGTGCTCGTAAATTCGTCGTGAACACTAGCTTGTCTTCGCGGAGCTGGTACCTCTGGCGATGGAACGATGACGACGACGACGACGAGTTTGGATATGGAGAAGGCTTATCGGGTGACAAGAAGAAAAAGAAGGCACTATCATATACGCCCAGCTTTGGGAGTCACTACTTCTGGTACCGTGGCCGCTTACTTCTGTTTCGTCGTTCTGCCAATCGGGAACAGAACTCTTTCATGCTTGTGAGTGAGCGCGAAGAGATATCAATCTCATGCTTTGGTCGCAACCCATGGATCCTGAAAGAACTCCTGCTGGAGGCTCGCGAGAAATACATCTTGAAAGACGAACACAAGACACAAATTTACCGCGGGACGACTAAAGCCATGTCAAGCGAACCGAGCTGGCAGCGATGCATGTCGAGAGCGTCTCGACCTTTTTCGACAGTCATTCTTAATGAGCAGAAGAAGAAGGAGCTCGTCGACGATGTCACTGATTACCTTAACCCCATGACTCAACGTTGGTACGCTAATAGAGGCATCCCTTATCGACGTGGTTATCTCTTGCATGGACCTCCGGGAACTGGCAAGAGTTCCCTGAGCTTGGCTTTGGCCGGTTTCTTCAAACTGAGGATATACATTGTTAGCCTGAGTTCAGTCAACGCCACTGAGGAGAACCTCGGTAATCTATTCGCAGAGCTTCCTCGCCGATGCGTTGTTCTGCTTGAAGATATCGACAGTGCTGGGCTAACACACACGCGAGAGGACAACAAAAACCCGCCACCAAAAGAAGAGGAAATGGAACCTGGCCAGGTCACACGTGGAAATGGCAACACCAATGATAATAACAATACTCCCTCATTCCGACTATCCTTGTCGGGTTTACTCAACATCTTGGATGGCGTTGCGTCGCAAGAGGGCCGTATTCTGATCATGACAACCAACCACCCTGAAAAGCTAGACAAGGCATTAATCCGTCCCGGGCGTGTCGATATGATCATTGGATTTGGTTTGGCGGATGAATACATGGTCATCAACATATTCCGGAACATCTTCGCTTATCTGGAAGGCGATGATGGTCCCGAAGTAGAGAAGTATATAAAGCTTACCCCCGAGGAGCGCGAGGTAGTCATGGAGAAGCGAAAGAAAGAGCGATTAGCACACGACGCCAAGATGGAAGAACTAGCCAAAACCTTCGCCTCCAAAATCCCAGCACATGAGTTCAGCCCCGCCGAGCTGCAGGGCCATCTGATGAAAAACAAGCACAACCCGCAGAACGCGATCGACACGGCTGAGGAGTTCATAGAGAAGACGCGGGCAGAGCATAAGGAAAAGGAGCGAAAGGCGGCGGAGGAGAAGAGGAAAGCCGAAGAGAAGAAGAAAGAAGACGAACAGAAGAAAGTGGAGGAGGAAAAGAAGAAGGCCGAGGAAGAAGAGAAGAAAATGGTTGAAGAGGAGATTAAGAAGAAGGTTGAGGAGGAAATCGAGAAGAAGTTCGGGAGTGAAATCAGAGAGAAGGTCAAGGCTGAGATGGAGAAGAAGAAGGCTGAAGAGGAGGCTAAAAAACTAGAGGAGGAGAAGAATAAGGAAAAGGATAAAGAAAAAGAAAAAGAGGCCACCAAGTCGAATAACGAGTCGTCGTCTGACACCAAACCAGACGCATCTTCAGATCCCGCCACCAAGAGCGCAACAACAGCCGACGAGAAAGCAGCTCCAGTAGCCCCCGCCGTTGATCGAATAATCGTCAAAGAGGAGAAGAAGTCCGATGACGACGACGGGTCGCGACAAGATTCAGGCTACGGTACCCCCTTGAGCGAAACCCACGAGGCTGTCGTAGCGTAATCCGCTGTAAAGCAACAAAAACAACACACTAATAATAATCAGCATGATTTCAAAAAAAACAAAACCAAAAAGGATTTGCGAGCACATCGGGGCTCATATTGGAGCTCATCTGACGGGGACGATCCCTTATTCCGTCACCGTACGCTGAGAAAATGGCGTTCGACAAAGATGATGATAATGACGACAGCGATGATATTCATGATGAGGGGTATGGGCAGCACGATCTACGTGTTTCTTTTCTTCCACTGCATGGAGATGGAGTTTTTTCTGCGGCTGGATTTGGGTTCTCATCTCCTTCTTGATGTCTTTTCACTGTATCTTTCCTCGAAATTGAAGAAAATAGAAGAAAAATGAGAGAGCTAGAAAAGTACTACATATTATTACTACGTCTAGGATCGTCCCGAAAATGTGATGTGCTTAAATCGACACAAAATCTATCTCGCTCTAAAATGTTTTTTTTTTTTTGAATGGTCACTTCAACGAGACGAGGAAAGCATGCATATATACAGAGGCTCTTTCTATATCTCACGAGCGCGACCTTGGTTTATGAGCGGTTGGCACGAGATGTCTAGATGTATTAACTAGCTTCTAGCTCTCCGGCTGCCATCGCGAGGATGACAAAGAAGATTGTTCTGCGCATAGAGAGAGAGAGAGAGATTACCCATCTACTTGTCCACACACACCACTAGAATCTCAATATGATGCATCGTTCTCTTCATGGTCCTCGTTGCTATCACAGCCCCCCTAATATTAAAATACCATTCCTAGCTATCGCCACCACACTCAGTACACCTTGACGCCCACTGTCGCTATTTTCGCTGTCACTGCTATGATTTTCAGCAATGTCCAATGTGCCGTCACTCTACTACTAGTATAGTGGCCTTGTACATGTTCGTCCAATCACTTAGGATGCACCCTCATAATACGTGATATTCTGTTTATTTTAGCAGGTTAGGCGGGCCGCTAGACATCACCAGACGGAGGTAATAGATTCTAGCCAAACCAATGGCTCAGGTATTCTATGGGAATACCGGGGAAGCTCAATTGCCAATCAGGCCTGCCTACAAAGTGTATTTATTGTGTATCAGCCTGAAGCGAAATTTCTGTCCACGGTGACGAAGTTCTGGTATATCAATGTAAAGTATAACAAAGTCCTGGTAAGTAAGTGCCTACCTACCTCCTGCTAGTACGCGAGAGGTGGATGAACCAAATCATACAAGCGCACTTCCAAGTACTTCTACATGAACAATCCAGATTTCGCCAGTCCCCTATTTCATTTCATTACCCCAGTGACGGTACCAGGGAAGCGTAGTTTGTTGAATTTATTGGAACTTGTCTATTGAAGCGGTTGGGGACGGTAGGTAGGTACTATGTAGTAACACCGAAAGGGGAAATACGAAAACGAATAAGAATTTGTGTGTGTGTAGCGTACACGCTACCTACCTAGGTACGCCGCTTGTTGCCGGATCGAGTCCGTTTGTCGCGGGACCATTATCTCCGATATGCTACCTGTCGTATTTAGCACGCAGAGTTCTGTACGCAGGTCGGGATTATTTGATGTCTGCAGTCCTGTAAGTAGGTGATTTGTTCATCTCACCGTCGCGTCGGGTAGGATAAGTTAAATTAGCTTCAGGATGGAAACCATTCCTTGGTAATCGGTACCTACAAATAGATAATTAACTGCTCCGGTGTAGACGTTGAGGCAATGTACAAGAGCTTGACTTGAGCGAGATTCGGCGACTGAACCAGCTACCGGTATCGATAATGTCTGCTTAGTACATGAGGTCCCCTCCGATCTTGATTACCTAATTAAAGGCTGGAGATCGGAGTTACTTGTCTAGGAACCGGGATGCTTCACTTCCAGATGCGGCATTTCCCGGGACACGGCGAGACCTTGTGAGACAGGCGCAAGCTGGCGTCAGCGAGTACTTACATACTATCGACAGAACATAGAGCTAAGAAGATTTGGCTGATATTGGGAACTGTATAGTCGTGATTTAGTTGACTGTTATTTCTCATGCGAGGAAGTGTGAATACTACTTGATACCGTTGGCCAAGTGTAGATAGATAGGACTAAGTCATGTATGTTTTCTATCACGTAGCATTACGTAGTATAGGTAGGTAATACATAACTACTACTTATTCGATTAGACACAACTACCTAGGCGTGTATGTTGTTGTGGCGGACTTGTTTGATAAGAGATTTGAAGCTGAAGTGAGATCGTCACCTAGAAACAAACGGGCGTCGTTGACGATGTTGCTTACTCACTCGGCGTTCCGACTAACCTTGGGGCGTCTTCGATTTGCGCTACACACGACACAGGTCGGCGCTGTATGCGGGGAGAGAAGCACGGCAATCGGTGGCGATGTTCTCATATAATTCCGGGGCCGAAGGAAGCGGTAACCTGGAGTTGCGACTTGCACTAAAGCTGCCGGCGGATTTCTATCTTTGGACGTCCGAATTTGTGGACGGGAGTAGCCGAACACACAGACTGACCGTCAGAGCGTCTGATCTCTGATTGTAGGATTCCATCATGATACGCTAGACCAGGACCTAGAACAAGACAGCTACTGCACCCGTTCAGCGCGGACGAATCTGCGGTGCGGGAGAATCAAAAGTACGTACGTACAGTAAGGCAGTGCTGTATGTACAGAGAAGGGCCCGTTCCTCGCTCTCACATGCCGGCATCTACACTACCTACCTACCCCAAGTGACCTACTGTACCTATGCCGCTCATATCATAGTCGAGGGCAGGGTTTGTATGCGAGTGAGATATGTGGCTTAGGGGCGCATGCCATCAACATCATTATAGCGCAGCGTTCGATGCTTATCAAATAGTTGCGCCGAACGGCATGTTCCTGCATTGGGAACGAAGCGAAACGAGGAAATGATGCAAGTCCCTGTGCATGCACTTGATTCGTTCTCGAGGCAGATCTAGATCATGTGCTTGGGGGTTTCGAGCCTGCACCTCAGGTTGAGATTTCTGGCAACTGCTTCCCATAGCCCGACAATGCTACTCGAATAAGGAATAAGGATCCGCATCTACCCCGTAGGTGTGTGAGTATTATTACCTTGAGCAACTTCTGCTCTCGTCTACATAACAGGATTTTGATAGGACCGTAGTGGTGCTATGCACATACATGGGGTGTATGTATCGAAGGAGATATGCGGATAGTACCGCATTATATTCATCCTAGTTCTTGCTCTCGTTATCTTGTCGACGGCGGCATGCAGGACTTTCCTCTCCATGGTGATACCGTAGTGACATGCGGATGCACTGCGCGTATCCGTGTCAATACTGTTTATGCGTGTACCGCGCACTGCATATATAGGGCAAGAATGGAGGCGGATAGACAGGCCACCACAGTAAGGTAGACTCGGATGACAAATTGTGATACTGTATTGCTCGTGTACACTACCTACACTACGCCGTCTCACCACGCAGTGTACAGTAGTCGTGTGCCTTGGATGAGGTACTTATAGATAGCCTGGTATAGGGTAGGTATGCGGCCGGCAAGCCGAGTACGACAGCGGCCCCGGGCATCTGATACCGTAAGAAACGAATAGCCGGCTGGATCTGGGCTGGGGGGGGGATTGGGGGGAAACCTACCGATAGACGAAACTTGAATATGGTAGAGCTGTTCGAAGACATGCTGGGATTGTGGGCGAAAAGATCAACCCCTACCCAAAACCCATGGTGGGGTACATAGGCCGATGGCAGCCCACACTACGCTACATACTATTACCTAGGTAAGGTGTGTAGATAGGTAGGTATTCCTAGGTATCACAGATAAGAGATATCATTGCCCTGCACCTTGTTCCATCTACAATCATCACGATGCGTAGAAGAAGATGGAAAAAGATGAGCTAGAGTACATATGTTCGATGCTACAGTAATGACACTACTGCTTCCAGGGACCTGGAAACCCTGCCGGTGGTTATCTGACAGATATAATTTATCACTTACCCAGTCTAGCACCTTACTACACCACCGAAACTCGAATTAGTGGCGTCATGTAGTGAGAAGGCCCCCTCCCCCCATGGATCACGTAAGTGCGTACTCGGGTTAGAGGTAGTATCTACCTACCTACCTACTGTACATGGAGATTAGGCAGGTATTTATTAATAGTAAGTAAGTACTTGTCCTAAGAAGTCTCCAGTGTAGACATGTGTGCACGAGCGAAAGGATAGAGAAGCGGAAAACGAAAACGACAACAACAACAACAAAATAGGACCATAATCCAGACCTTTCCATCTCATGCTAAGAGATGGAATATCGGAGTGATTAGAGGAGGGGTCGAGGTTGCATCTGGCGAAAATGAGGGGCATTTACGGTAGGTACACACGCATGCTGTAGGTAAGTAGGTACTATGTAGTCTGTAAGTAGTCGAAGTAGTGTAGGTACACCAGGTAGGTAACCAGTAGATACCGATGGGGTACTTGACTTCGCGCAGACGCCGCTATGTCAAGATAGGTATCGTCAGATATCTGCTCTACCACTTCAAAGCCTCTAGTCTGCTCTAGAGACATTAGCGGGGACTGTAGTGGGGCCGACTTGGGAGGGGCCGATGCTAGGAAAATACCTGAAAGGGAGCTTTTTGGAGGGGAATCTTGGGAATCTTGGAGGGGCAGCGAGACTAAGCAGCGCTCTAGCGGTGTTTCTATTATTATTGTACCGGTATGTGGGTTTTTGATTTTCTTCAATACATGTACGAAGGTACCTAAGTCCTACTTATACATAGGTAGTAGCTTTGGGAGGCGAGGGAGGGGACACATGGCGGCGGCCATCTTGAATCCTAAATGCTTTGGGTAGACGCCGGGCCTGTGAAACATCCCCGCTATGTAAGTAGGTAGGTATCTACACTTACTTCGACTGCTATTTTGATTGTCAATACATGTAGAATATTTAGAGAATCGAAACCATAAAGTAGACTAACACGTACTGTATGGTGCTAGCTACGTTACCTACAGACTTAAGTACCGGTTGCATCAACGAGTCTTTGCCGCTCGACGTGTAGGTACTTTTTCGACGTTTCTTACTACAGAGGGCCTGGATATTGACAAGCTCACGATCTTGTACCTCAGCAAGCAAGCAAATGATATTGATCTCGACATGTAATATTGAAACTAATACTACCTACACCTAGACGGATGTTTTAAGTTATTTGTAGACATATCATCATCCTCTCCGTATACTATAGGTATATGTATTTGGTAAGAAGGAGAGCGGCGTGGATCGAGATACAGACTAGGTAGGTAAGTACATTTGTAAGTACATAGGTACTAAGTATAGGTAACAGAGGTACGGGCCCCACCAAAACAGGCCGTCGGCTGTTGTCTCACCTCAATATGCAGGTTAGACTTGAGTCTTCGTTATCTTCATGTCTTGCCCTCAAATGTAGCCACTATCCCGAGACTGTTTTACATTTCCCATCTCGAAGATGCCTTGATTTGTCGGACTGTTCCCGGAGGGTTTCAATTCGTGGTAACGAAAAGGAAGGAAGATCAGCCAGGGCCGACAATTGAGAGGATCACAGAAAAGTCACCATTGCACACCGGCTAAGCTACACTACTATGTAGAAAGTCGAAAATGAATTTCTGACAACTCAAACCCAGCCTGATCTCCACCGAGGCCCTGCATGCCGCCCAACCATCATTCCTTAGACTTTATTAGTGTAGGTACATACTTACACATGGACAGGCATATGCCACCCTGCATTCTCCTACTACTCAGGTAATCAATCATACTAAGGATGTACTACGTGTAGTGTGTGTACGTAGGGTAGGGTACCGGCACTGAGTAGACCTAGCTGGGTACCCCGATCCCACGTTCCTGAGCCGCCCCCCTGTTGCCCGTTGGCCGAGGATTGTTGATTTGCAATTTGGCGGTGAAACTACTTCAAAAGGACCCTTCCTCGCCGTTGCTACGACCCGCTGTCTGCTCGAGTCTCTCTCCTGTTTCTTCCTCGTCTCCCGCTGTCCCTACACACATCCCAAGTCGCCCCTCCTACCTTCCCTAGAACCCGCAATCTGTTGAACGGCACGCCTCCGCCACATAGGCTTTTGGACACAATGGCTGCTCGCCCCCAGAACATTGGCATCAAGGCCATTGAGCTCTACTTTCCCAGCCAGGTGCGTACATATGGCAGCCGTCATCGGCGAACCAAGACGACCCCACAACCCTCGACTCTCACAGAGGAGAGACACCGGAACGAGGGGGCAATGGCGGTGGAAGAAACGGAGAAAATAAGATACAGGCCAGAGAGAACCCTCGCTAACAACATCTCCTATTGTAGTATGTTGAACAATCTGAGCTCGAGAAGCATGACGGTGTCAGCACCGGCAAGTACACAATTGGTCTTGGTCAGACTAAGATGACCTTCTGCGATGACCGGGAAGGTAAGCTCAACCACTCTACGCCAACGCACAAAGAGGTCCTCGAGCAGGACGAGGCTTTCACAGCGGCTAACGCCACATAATTACTGCAGACATCTACTCATTTGCCCTTACCGCCACCTCAAAGCTCCTTAAGAACTACAACATCGACGCCAACTCGATTGGTCGTGTCGAAGTCGGTACCGAGACCATCCTCGACAAGTCCAAGTCCGTCAAGACTGTCCTGATGCAGCTGTTTGGCGACAACACCAACCTAGAAGGTGTCGACACCATCAATGCCTGCTACGGTGGTACTAACGCTGTTTTCAACACCCTGAACTGGATTGAGTCTTCAGCCTGGGATGGACGTGACGCTATTGTCGTTGCTGGTGACATTGCCCTCTATGCTAAGGGTAATGCCCGCCCCACTGGTGGTGCTGGCTGCGTTGCCATGCTCATTGGCCCCAACGCCCCCATTGCTTTCGAGCCTGGTCTACGAGGCACTTACATGTCTCACGTATACGATTTCTACAAGCCCGATCTCACAAGCGAGTACCCCTACGTGGATGGTCACTACTCGGTCAACTGCTACACCGAGGCTCTCGATGCCGCCTACCGCGACTACTGCAAGCGTGAGACCAAGTTGCAAAACGGCCACACCAACGGAGAGCTAGCCGATGGCAAAACTCCCTTGGACCGCTTCGACTACATGGCCTTCCACTCCCCTACCTGCAAGGTCGTCCAGAAGTCGTATGCTCGCCTGCTATACCACGACTACCTCGCCAACCCGGACCACCCCGCCTTTGCTGAGGTTCCTGGCGATATTCGGGACATGGACTACCAGAAGTCTCTCTCAGACAAGGTTGTAGAAAAGAGTTTCATGAACCTGACCAAGAAGCGCTATGCTGAGCGTCTCTCACCTGCTATCCAGGTGGCTACTAACTGCGGTAACATGTACTGCGGTAGCGTCTGGAGTGGTCTAGCCAGCTTAATCTCCCACGTTGACAGTGCAACTCTAGAGGGCAAGCGAATTGCGCTTTTCAGCTATGGTTCTGGTCTCGCTTCCAGTTTCATGTCGCTACGCATCAACGGCAGCACTGAGAAAATATCCAAAACCCTAGATATCCCCAACAGGCTAGCTGCTCGTCGGGCTGTACCCCCCACAACCTACGAGGCTGTAAGTTCATCCGACTACTTCCCTTTGGATGAGAGAGAAACTAATCGAGCCTTAGTTCTGCGAGCTGCGCCACAACGCTCACCTGCAGAAGAACTTCGAGCCCAAGGGTGACGTGTCCACACTAGTCTCTGGTACATACTACCTGGAGAAGGTTGACGACATGTTCAAGCGATACTACGCGATTAAGGAATAAATTTACGACTAATGAGGGACGATCTTACTGGGATTTTCCATAGACCAGCATCACATCATTGGGGCGGCTAACAGCTAGAAGAGCATGTAACTCTTCAGGTCTTTAGATGGTGCACATTTCATAAGCGCAGCGAATTCCATTATAAAGGAGGGTTGCATATATATACCATGGTAGCAGAAGGCGCACGAGTTGCCGTCATAACAGGGTCAATAGAGAAGGGATTTAGGAAGAAAGTCGAACTGGCGACTTGTATATACCATCAACAGCTCGGGTCATAGGGCTGAACGGAAGGGATAATAAACAATAGATTCTTGAACAAACAGGATTACCCGATTATTGACCTCTTGGTGACATGTGCATTGCTTACATAAGACGAGAGGGCAGTAAGCAAATGCAAGATTGAGGGCAATGTTATCTCTGACTGATCTTGGCAATAACATGCTGCCGGCATCTCTCCGGCACCGTCCTCATAATCATGATGTGGTCGTTCACTTACCTAGGTAATAAACATAGAACTTGAACTTTTTCACAGATAAGTTTAAATATTAACAAAGACTTAATTTTCTAGTTAATTTAGACATGCTATATAAGTTGTGCGTTTAGGTATTGTGTGGTGTGTTAATTCATGCTGAACAGACATCATGATGAGTGAGCATAACTACAGTACGTGACCTACCGGTACCTATCCCACTGCTATAGGAAAGAGTATCCCTGGTGTCTAGTTTTAGAACTCCGGCGGTGTCGGATTTGATGTATTCTTTGTTGATGTATGTAGTTTGCGGATCTTCTGTCCGGCCTTGAATCTGTGTATTTCGGGGTTCGGGTCTCGGGACTACACATTGTCACTAGGAAGTCGTGTGTACCACTTGTCCATCTGGTAGCTTTTCTGCGTGTTCTTGTTCTTTGCTTCTTTCAGGTTCGGTCGGGGAGTTGATATGTATCCCCGTTATAGGAGCTCTGGCTGGCAAGGACTTAGCTTGGCTGATGCTAGGTTGTTGTGTGTGTGAGTTGTTAGCTAGGTGATTGGGTAGGTAGCCGTTGTTTTCCGCTCTTTTAGTCACTTGGTTGGATTTTCACTGCTTGATGTAGTATGTTTGAGGGGTCGGACACTTTCACTTATTCTGTTCACAGGCATATGCGGATTGCTTTGAGGACAGTACTTTCAATACACATAAAGCTATGAAATGCATTTAAAGCAAAAGGGTCATGCACATCTATACATAAGGACAGGTTGTATGATATGTGAATGGAAATTTCAATATTGTATCTTGCAACGGTCTTGGGACCGTTACCATCTTGCTCAACAATGAAGAACGAAAATGTTTGTGTATGTTTCCTGTAAGTGATGATACTCTATCTTAGAGCGTAATGATCAAGGCTTTCTGGCAGAGGGAGAAAGCAAAGATCACTGTGACTCAGTTTACCAGATTTTTCTGTCTCCTCGTCTACTAAGCAGATGTTTATGAACCATGCTCAAACATAAATGACCTATATATGTACAAAACATGCTGATTTACCATGCGGAGCATCCATTTAATGCTGCAGGTCATCCATCTATCCTCTAGTTCCCTTCATTGAAACCCGCTCTGGCTATTAAGCCAGTCTTCAACAACACTCATCAAGCAGACTTCCCTCTGCATTCTACATCATTAAGCCGTCTTCTCCTTCTCACTACCAGACCGCCATCTCCATGTAGTGTGGCGATGAAGCATGTAATCCTTGCTCTGGATACCCTTCCAGATCCCGTATAAACCACCCACGGGCCACAGGCCCTTGATAAATGGCTTCCAGCCTTTGTCCGCCGTATCCTCTCTGACCTTTACCTTGTCGTAGACGCTCGGCAGGCTAGTGGCGCGGTACTTTTCTCGCAGCGCCTCGTAGGCGGGGCGCCCACCAAAGGCGTCCCAGAACTCGGGCTCGCTGTAATACGTGTGGGCGTATAGCCACTTCATGCCACCGAGCTCGTTGACCTTGTCCTCGAGGGCGCGGTTCACGCGTACGAAGTCCTCCTTATTCTTCGGTCCCCAGCCCCATACGCCGATGTTCAGCATTTCGGTAGTGTCGGGGGACGATGATTGACGCACATGCGGATGGAAACTAGGGCCTTTGGGTGTCTTAAGGGGACAGAGCCACAGTGGCCAAATGCCCAGAGACTTTGTTGTGTACTTGATGAACTCTTCAGCAGTATCATACGGGATGCCAAGATCCTGGACGAAAAACCGAGCGCTCTCCCCACTGGCGTGGAGCGCACGATAAAGCATCCGCGTGTGGAGGAAATCGTCGAGGAACCATCGGAAAAAGCGCGTGAATGGCACGGGCCAGAAGTAGTCGAAAGCCGCCTCGCCTACCCAGAAGCCACCACGATCATACCTAAATAAATACTCTGCGAGCGGGATGTATTCTGTAATGGTGCCTTGTGGTGATGACGAACTGGACTGAGAAGTAGGCGATGCGGAGGAGGTGAGCCCCTTGGTGATATTTCGCACGTGCATGTAGTACCACGGGTCCCAGGCATGGCTGAAAGTGCGCACCTTCTCACCAGCCGGGAGTTCATCCGTCATCTCACCGGTAACGATGACACCGTGACCCTCCGAGAATAGCATACCGTCAACATAGTCGTTCCTTGGGTTCCGGCATTCTTCCTTGACGACGCGGATGGCCTCGGCAGCGGTGGTCGTCCGGCGATATGTTGTCCGCACGAAGCGTTTCGCCTCAATGAGCTGGAGTTCGAGAAGTGTCGTGACGCCGAGGGTACCAACGGCGCCCGCAGCCCCGTCGAAGAGATCAGCGTACTTCTCTGGGTCCTCTCCTGGCCCAAGCTTAGTATTGGCCAAGTCTCCAGTTCCGCCGTTGCGCAGCCTATTTCTCCCTGGCTTCGCGACCACGATCTCACCGTCGGGAAGGATCATCTCGACGGCGTTGACGGTCTGGTCGAAGTACCCATGTTTGAATGAGCTGCTCTCCCCCGCTGTGCCGGCAAACCCGCCGCCGGCCGTAATTCCTGGAAATTCCATGACTACAGGCGGCACGAGACCGTGTTTGAGTGTGCTTTCCACGAGCCTATCCATGGGCACGTTAGGCTCCACGAGAGCCACATGCCGCGTCGTGTCGACCTCTAGGACATTCTTTAAGGCGCTGATGTCCACGAATCGAGCCTGTGATTTCAGGTGCGTCGGCCTCGTCGAATTTGTGCTGCCGTGCATGATCCGGAACGGGACCGACTTGTCAAAGTACCCCCGCACCGTTGTGGCGATGAGCCGCACAGCTTGGCGATGGCGCTCCATTTTCGCCGGGTTGGACGGATTATACACACCGAGAGCTGGAAAGTGAGGCTCTATCTGATGACGGAAGTGAAAATTAGTGAGGCATCTAAAGCTGTCCAATTGGCGGTGCTCATTGGCTGACACTCAAAATACAGGGTATTCGGGGGTTGGCTTGCCCCACTTCCCGTCTTGTCAGATTACTGGAACAAGTGAATCAAGGGTCAAATGAAAGCTTGCATAACCTCATGTTGGGGAAATGAACCTTGTTGGGAGAGTTGATAGACACCAGGGTCACATACCGATTCAACAGAGAGGAGGGAAAAGGAAAAAAAAAGAAAAAAGAAAAGAAATCTTATCTGGAGTATTTGTAATCTTGGTGTTGTTTAGATATAAGTACACACACCTAGACGAGGCCGTATTCAACCCAATACTAATTGCACAGAGACCTATAAACTGCAAACTCTGTAGCAGCTGAAGCTGGCCAAACCACGATATTAAGTAAAGGAGGCCCCTTACCTTGGCCACTTAGCTAATGGAATGGGCTTCCCAGGAAGTCGTTCTCATCGGACCACTTGGTAAGTCAAATAACAAAAATAATAGCACCGGTGAGGGACCTGCTACGTGTTATTGACATTAATCGATGTTGTACGGAGCACTTGTAACAAAAACAGCTGTTGGTAGTAATTTGAGTTAGAAATAATCTATTTCGCTTGTTTAGATGCAGGTAGGCAAGTATGTATTCTAACGTCTAGAAGAGCCAACCCCGAGTACCCAACCCCGTATGCTAAGAAAATGCTAGAAATACCTATACACAAAAAACATAAGAAAATCGCAGTGTCTCATGCAGTGTAAGTGGCCCCATAACCTAGCCGGACAAAAACCACCCGTGAATCATCGCGGTTGGCGCAAGCCACCCCCGATATCTGTAATACGTCATTCATCATAACTTCGGACCGGCGAGAATAGGCGACAAAGGCGCCTCCCGCCCAACCTTGCCATACGCCATTGCAAAGACCTCCTTCTCTCCGTACGGCGTCAGCTTCTCGACGTCGCCCTCGCTCTCCTCGAGCGTCTTCGCCTTGATGTACGTGTAGCTCGAGACGATGCGTTCGGGCTCCTTGCGCGTGGCGGTGATGAAGCGCGCCACGCCGCGCACGCAGCGCTCCGTCTCGGCGAGCTTGGGTAGTACGAGGGCGAAGACGTGAGGCATGGCCTCGAACTCGTCGAGCGCGACGCGCACGCCGTCGCGCCGCAGCTTGGCCGCGAAGTACCGGTCCTCGTCTGCCAGGCACTCCCACCCGAAGCACATCCAGACCGGCGGTGTGCCAGCCCAGCTGGCGTTGAGCTGTAGGGACACGAGGGGGTGTAGACGCAGCGCGTCGTCCACGTAGAGGTGCTTGCGGGGCGGTGTCGCGGGCCAGATGGCATCCGAAGGGGGTGGCGATGCCTCCCATCGGTCCGGAGGCGGGAGGTAGTCCCATTTGGCGTTCGCCGACCACGATGGGAAACTCTGCACCATGTCTATCCATGGTGAAAATAGAGCGAGGCCCGCCGGCATAGGCACGTCGCGTTTCATGCCGAACCATGGTATTTTGATTTTCAGCCGGCGTAACTGAAGCAATGCCTGCGTTAGAGCCAGAGTGAGGTTCCCTCCCGCACTATTTCGGTTTCATGCGTCAGCTGTACTATGTCTAGTGCGCATATATATATATATGTAAATATCAAGGGGTATCATCTACTGCTCATTACTCCGAGTGGATTGCATTACCTGTCGCCGCCGAACACGATATCCCTAGGAGACACGGCCTCATGCATCGACCCGGGAGGCGGATATAAAAGCGTGAAATACGAAACGAGCGCATCTAGCAGCGCCGCCGGGAACGGATGTTGAGGCGCTAATCTATAGCGAACGGAGTATACGCGGCCCCCGGTGGCCTTGGCCAGCCGCTTCGCGAGCACACGGTGCGTCGACGGGTCGCAGAGGAAGTAGGCGCCGCCGTGGAAGTACAGCACCGTGGTCGCGTTCTTGCACTCCTTCATCAGCGCGTCGTACTTTTGCTCCTCGGGGATGTCAGGGAGCGGCTCGTCGTGCGCCGCGCCAGCCCTGTACCCCGTCCACTCGGCCTCGACGCGCGCGATCTCGGGGACCTTGAAGCCGGCCTCTTGCGCCTCCAAGTCGCTCAGCGACTTGATCACGGCCATGAGGGCCTCGCGGATGCCTCGCTCGGGCGGCACCTCGGAGACGGCGTTGCTGATCCACACCTTGCCCTTGACCCCGGGATCCAGAATCGACATGGCTTGTGTGGCGCCGATGGCGCGCGGCTTGCCACCCGAGACTGCGGACCGCAACACCGTCAGCGTCATGTTTGTCTCCAGGTCCAAGTACCTCGCTACCTCGGACACTCCCAGGACATGCATGACGAGAGTGCGGAGGAGGAACGGGATTTTGGGCAGCAGAGCCCATAAGAACTTGGCCCTGTTCTTCCGCATCTGGGCGGCCGCCTTCTCCTTTTCCGCTTTATCCGCTGCCATGGCCGACACGTTGAATTCGTAGTTTGTGGGAGTTGGAGGAGTGATCGGTCGGTGGTCGATCTGGGGACGAGCGCCTCGGCTAGATTGCTGCTGCATGATCTGCATTCCTAATTAGGAAGTTTCAGTAGTCTTGGGGGAATAGCACGCTTTCTTCTCTTTTAGCTTCAACACCAAGCAATTCATCGCCGTGGGGTTCTTTTTTTTATCTCCGACTTTAGCATCACCTAGCCGCCAGTTGATGTTCTGTTACTAGTGTTCGTTGGGTTTGAGTAACAGGTGATTAAGTAGCAGTGTTTTCCAATCGCCCGTAAAAACGTCAGCGCTGATGAATATAACAGAAATCGCTTGATGTCATTACTCATATATATATATATATATACTCGCCTTCGACTGCAAACGCATCGCTGACTCTTTGGCCAGACCCATGATCTAGATCTACTGGCCATGAACCCGCCAATGCGAAAGGCAGACGCGCAATGCGATTTTCTACTGGATGAATTGACGACCTATACCGTTCAATCCGGATTCCGATGACGAGACGGCGGAAGGCGTGTCCCTACCGCTCAGCCCTACGGTGCCATCCACGTGTATCAATTGCATCGGCTGACGGACTGAGACCACGATATCCAACACTTCAAATCTCAGCGCCTGACTCCCGTTCATTCTGAACCGATGGAAAAGCCGAAGCTTCGGGGTCTGCATTCCCCGAAGCTAAGTGAGATCTGCTATCTGTTTACACCATGTCCACGGTGTAGACATAGCCACGCAGCATCAACTCGCAACTTGATATCCCGCGTGACTTCTTTCGATTATGGATGCCCGACCACCTATACACGCGATAACAGCACAACTCTATGTGAGACGTAGCAGCTCGGAACAACAAGCCCGCTTATCTGTTGCCCCGTGGGAAGACGAGAAAGAGTTCAAATACTTGTCCTCGTACCTCTAATAGTTAATCTCACGTACCTTCCCACTCGCCAGCGTGCAATTTGAGCACATAAGATGGCCGTATCGCAGGACATAGTATAGAGTAAATGCTCGTATGCCAATATCAGTAGCCAGCGGCTCAAATCGCATTTAGATCACAGTTCATCACAACACTCAGCTACGTCATCTTTGTCACGTATTCACAGAGATGAGAAGCATTGATGCCTGCAACTCAGCAGTCGCAATGACGAATGCTTTCCATTGAATAACCATGCATTTCCGAGTACCTATATATGATACATTCCTCGCTAGAATAACCTGCTATTTCCCTTAACCCTCGCATTTTTCTTATCCGCTTCGTTTGTTCAAAAGGATACCGAATGCTAGTGATATCCTCGCTATTATCTTATACATAATTGTGTTGTCACCATCAATTATGGGGCGTTGAACAGGATAATGTTTCCAATAAGAAAGGATGTTTCTCATGCCTATTAAGCCCCCGTTTTGGCTTTAGCCATTCCTTTGACGAGCTGCTACTCTTCGGTTGAAGTTCTGAATTTGTTAGTGCCAATCACCTACTCCGGATTCGACACCTTGCCCGTGGGCACTCTAGAGTTGTCACTACAACGATTTCTAGGAGCTGCTTCCGGCTGCTGAAGAGCTGCCACCGGCGTTCGTAGATGTCTTGGCGCTATTAGCGGCCATCTGCCACGCTGGGATCGACGCCTTAGTAGCCGGTGCACCGGTGCCAAATGGGCTGGATCGTCCATTAAGCGAGGATATGTAGTCCTGCTTGCTTGGCGTTGCTGACGACGCATTGGTGTTATTAACGTCCTGGGCACTGCTGGCATCATCCGAGCTCTCCTTTTCTTTGCTTTCCGCGGACGGGGTAGTCGCTGGGCTCACGGAGGGTGCCGCGCCGTTTGTAGACCGAAGGTACGAGTTCGCTCCACCATTATATGTCGTGCCTGACCCGGGAAGGGGAGAAGAGGCAGAAGCAGCCCCCGAATTCATGCGTTGTGAGATCAAAGACTTCAGGCTCTTTACTTCATTGCTGATTTCCTTGAGCCGGTTATCCGTAAGCTCCTTGTGCGCAGACAAGGAATTAGGAATGACAGATTTGATGTTCTTGATATCGTCACGCAGGCGCTCTGTTTCGTCTCCTTGTCTCCGGCTGGCAGACTTCGACTCTTGCACAAACGCCTCCAGATCTTCAAGGACCTTATCCAGCTTCTGCGTCCTTGCCGCCTCGGTCTCCTTTAGCGCTTCGGTATCTTTCGTCAGCTGCTCAAGTGTTGCGAACGCCTTTTCGAATTGTTCATCCACCGTTGTTTTGTCCTGATCTAGTTTCTCTGGCGTAGGTGGAGCTACAAGTGGGTAGAGGTATCGCTATCTTCATATTAGCATTTGTAGGCGCCCCAATGAGCAGGCGAATAAGCCAGTCCACACCTTTGAGATGAAGTACAAGCCGTAACCAACTCCTCCTACTACTGTAGCCATGATAAACCAGTCGCGCCAATCCCTCTTAGGGGGCTCTGGAGGCGGTGCTTGCCATCCATATGGTGGCTGCTGGGGATAATAGGGTTGTTGCTGAGCTACTGTGGAGACTGTCTGTGATGGCGTCGAGGTAGGGGGTGGTGAAGATCCTGCGCGTGCGAATGCCGCGTCAATCTCTTCTTGTGTGAGATTCTTGGAGCGTAGAAACGACAGCTTGTTCTCTATGGGCGAGGAGACGACATTCGGATCCTGTAGGACTGTACCCTAAGTTAGCCATCTGATCAATTTGGGACGATGTTCTCTGGCTGCGTCCATGGTTTGTAGCAATGCGAAAGACAGGTCATCGACATACACGAAACTGCAGAGGACACGATGTCCTCGCGAATAGCCATATTGTCAGCTGGGCTCACGAAGATAGCGTCATATCATATTATATGATGCTGTGATAGAACGAAATGAAGGCTGAGACGTCGCGTATTGATGGCAGAAAGTATGGGTAGAAAGGCGATGGCGATTCATTTGATGACGAACCCCAGTTGGTCTGGTCTGGGCATTGGCATCGGCCGGCTTGGGCCGAGGCTCGTCCCTGCCGGTTAGACTGCTAATGTCCCACAGCCTATCACGTGAGCGGATGGTACCTATCTCATTTTTACACATCCTGAGCAACCGCAACAACACATGGTTTCAGCAATAATATAATCACTCAGAAGCACGGGAATGAAAACATTGTCATCTATTGTGGCTGCCTTATCTATTATTCGCTAATAGAATCACTAGTGGTGTACACCGCGGTTTTTCTAGATGCCTAAGCATCTATCTACGTCTACTCTACATAGTAGTAACTAACTGCAACAGCCTGTCTTTTGATTCTAGTCCGTCTAAAGTCAAAGATGAGCTGCGAACTGCGATGGCTCCTCTGGAGCTAAAGTTGGCGCTCTGCGCTTTCAATAGGGTCTTTCCCCCTCCAGAATCAGTTCCCGGCACCAAGTATCTAGCCAGTAGCGCATGATCTTGCAACAATAAAGTCTAAGTAAGTATGCGAAGCAAAAAGGATGAGGGCTGTTATGTGATTTTTTTTTTTCTTCATCTCTTTCTGTGTTCAGCTCGGAAGTTCTCCATCACCAACTCATCAAGCCTTTGGCTCGATCGAAACCGCCACGCAGCTGACTATCAGGTTTCACCACTTTCCCCTGAAGGACGGTATACTTTACGATGTTCTCGCAGTCCTCGGGCCGGATGCGGGCAAGCCAGATGCACTGGCCAGCGCCCATATCGTCGTCTTCGTCTCCGCCATTTTCCTGTTTCGGCTTGCCCTCATTCGTCATGCCCTCGGCATCGTCGACGACGGGCGTCTCCGTCTTCTTCTGCACAGCCTTCTTGATCTGAATTTCCTCGTTTAGAGGTAATTTACCCCTTTGTACAGCATCCACACCAAAGGCGTCTGGGCGGCGATAGACCATCATGTTGGCCGAGTACTTGTGGCCTCCGACGTGGTTTATGAAGTAGATACCTACGCCACCAGGCCGCTCGTCGTCGAGGTCACGGAAGAGGCCCAGGGGTCGCAGATGCCGTTCTAGCTCTTTCCGAAGTATAGGCGCACTTTGTCCGCAGCGAGCGTCGCGCGTCTTATGGGAGCAGAGAAGGATGAGGGCGCGGTGTGGGGAGGGGCGGGCTAGTAATTGTTGTGCGTCGGGTAGGCTCGGAAGAGGGAGCGATCGCGGCAATGTGATGGGCGCAAGGGGTGACTTGGACGTCGGCGCATGGTTGATATACTCGGATATTAGGAGAGGGACAGCAGCAGGTGTGATGTTTTCGATGACAGTAAAGGCGGGCAGAAGTATAGCGGTTGTAGGCTCGGAGTAATCCGATGTGTGCGAGGGTGTAGGCATGTTCGAAGCGGAGAGCATGAGGCGCTGTTTAACATAATTATTCTTGTCAGCCAGTTGATCAATGGCGCCCTGCAAGTAATGGCAACATGAGGTTGGTGTATGGGGTCTGGACGTGGCTTTCCTCCCAAATGTTGGTATATAATGGGCTGGCCGGACTTATGGCCTGCAACACAAAATGACATACCCCGTTTGAAGGTTTCACAGCTGCGCCGAATGCTTCCATGACACTTCCTTTCTCATCTTCAACGTCGCGCACCCAGTCCGTCTTGCCAGTGGCAACAATAACATGTGTGCTCCAGCCCTTCACATGACCATACAACATATCACTCTCCTCAACCTTGAAGCCACGGGGATACGAGACATGGCAGCTCTCGCAGTCATGCGTGCAATCCTCGCCATCAATGGCGGGATCCGTGGATGAGAACAACTCGGCGACGTCAGCGACCGTGGGGGGTTCTTCTCCGGTAGCAAAGCGCCGTGCGCTGCCGAGCAAAGACTTGAATCCCAAAGCCATCTTCTGTTTTAGAGGCGGCTGTCGCTGCTGCTGTTGCAGAGCAGAGGGAGTCCCAGCCGTCATTGCAAAGAGTGGGCGACTTAATTCGCCCTAGACTCACTAGTATCCCCTTCTTACTGGACTGAGTAGATTGGTCTGCTGTCCCTGAGTTAGCCCGTTCTTTCTTATACCGCTATCTCGGCGCCACGCGCGGTAAGTGGGGGACTTCATTGCGCCGCTTACTCGGTCGAAGTTATGAGGCAGCACTAAGCCTCCTGTTTCCCTGGGCCCTATGTGTGTGGACGCAAGCAATGATTATTGACTGATTACAAATAACTAACGGAGGTTAGAGCAGAAGGTTAAAGCCGTTTGTGCTAATGGCCTACCCTGCAAGTCCGGCGAACGGGATTGCCTGAAGATGCTGTAATAAATGGCTGAACGCTCGGTCTCCGGTAACGATGTTGGCTGGTCGAGTATAGGTGCATCTATATTGGGAAAATGAACTACACGTAAGTACTGAAGAACCAGTTAGAGATTTATTTCGTGATTAGAAGCAAGAGAGCACTGTTCAAGCGAAATCCTTCGAGCCTATGAATGATAACAGAACATGTCCCATAATAGATAAATACCCTGCAAGGCAAGAGAGAAGAAGAGTCAGATTAGGCGGACGGATATCCAACCTACTGTTATTGCCGATGATGTAAGAAATAGTACCTAGGCGGCACCTCTCGGGGCTCTGCTCGGAAATGCACTGCAACCGTCGGACAAGCTCGGCCTAAAGGCGTAGGCACCGATGGTACGGAGAAACTCACTCGGGATCCGAGACAAGGATTATGTCAACTCGGAGTAAAGCTCTTTTTACTTTAGGGCACTGCATCAGACACCACAGAGGGCTGGGACCGAAATAATGCCCTAGGTATCTACCTAATTGATAGAGGTGACCTTTCAACTTTTGGGGCTTATCAGATGGTGGGCTTCTTAATACGTGGGTGGCATTTCCAAGAGAGCTTATCAGATCGACTCCAAAGAAATGATTGGACCATTCCCCGCCGGGGCATTCGCTTGTATCCGCTTTAATGTCCGTTCATCAAGTGTATGTACCTATGTATCTTTTTCATCGATGTCAGGTTTGAATTAGTTCCCTATTAATCATACCTCATCTACATGGTACATACATATGTAGACAGCTGAATAAAGCTTGGAATTGGAAAACATTATAGTGAATGGATTGTATAGTTTTCGGATTTCACGAGTATCACCAACTCCAAGCCCCTTTTGATCATACCCTCTTTCGCATTCCACCCTAAAATGGACGTGAATCCCACCCTCATGTATGACTTATAGATATATATCATACAGTGTTACTAAACCAACTAGCAGATCCATTGCTACAACAAATCAACAGAAAGGGTATGGCCGCATCCAACTAATAACGTGTTGCTAAGAGGAAAAGATGAAAAGACCGCCCAGTAAAACGTACAAGTATCAGCCTGTTTATATCCCACGAATACGTTCCAATAAGAAATAATCAGGCATCACTTTCAGATTCGTTTACCGAAAACCCGCTCTTTCTCCTCCTCAATTCGCTTCTCTCCTTCATTGCCGCTCGAATCTTGTTGTTCGCCTCCTGAAAACCTCCCCGAGAGTCTAAGGAAGTAAAACCAGACACGGGGAAACCTGCAAACCCGAACCCACCACCGGCGCTGCTACTCCTACTCCTTGACCGAGACGGTGGCCGTGTAGCAAACATACCAACCGACCCAATGTTACTGAATGATTCGTTCCGTGGGATCGCACGGCTCGAAAGCGTTGTGTCTCTGCGAACTAGACCAGGCGAGTCGGGTGGAGATGAGATAGCTGAGTCGTCGTCACGATGTATCGTGGGAACACCAATTTCTTCTTGTGTGCTAAGAAAGCCATCCTCTCGAAATGGATCGGACACAAGCCGTGTTTTCTCGAAATCATCGTACATATCGGGACCGAGATCATTAATCACCTTCGCAACCTGCTTCGACAATTCTATTCGTCGCTCGCGCAGTCTCTGAACGCTATAGCTTGAGGTTGGGCTGATACATAGTATCAATGGTCTGAGCGATTTCAAGATGTCCATGCCAACCTCTCCGATTCGAAAAGCGGCAAACGTGATAGCAGGGAAAATAATCCAAGCAATTATATACACAAGCCAGAAGGGAATAGAGTGGTGTAAGTAGCCCCACAGATTGTCTTGATAGGCCTTGACGGCGAGGGAGATGGAATAGAGATTATAGAGTGCTGGTGCGAAAGCCATCGCAACGAGAAGTTTCCAGGTAGCCATTACGTCTCGCCCCTGTATCTTGACAGAGGAGCCTGCGAGAGCTTCTTTGGCCTTTTGATGGCTGATATACTTCGTGGCGACGAAGACCGGGGCAAACAGCACGAGGCCAGGGACGACACCAATAGAGAGAACCAGGAGCTTGGAAATTCGGTAGAGTAACGTGAAGATGACTCTGGGCAGCGTCAGCTTAGCGTAAGCCAGTTGGTGGTCCTTAATGTTGAGGTAACGAAGTTGTTTGTTGTAGTCTCTAAGATTGGACATCAGATCGACGATGCGGGGGTCCTCTTTGTATTTGGAGAAACCTATAGCTAGCTTTCGATTCAACTCTACAACCATTGGTAAAGGCAATTTTCTGCCCGTATTGTAGAGGCGCCTCGCAGCCTGTATACACATCAAGGTGTCGTAGTCAGGCGATGACACGGTAACTGCGCTGAGTGACTGGTGCACCATATCCAGCGTCTGTGCAATGGCATCACGCCTCTGGTTATTCTTGTATTTCTCGACAATGTCATCGGGAATTTTAAAGGGGGGGCCGAACTCTACCACCGCCCGTGATCGAAACTTGTGGGCATGAAAGTAGTTCATTCCGACGGGTACAATTTGTAGACCACAGTTGGGGTCTTCGGCGAGTGTTCCCAGGGCCATGATGGCAACGCCAGCTTTCAAGGGTAGCAGTTCAGTTCTGTCGTGGCTGCCGCCTTCGGGAAAGATGCCAATACAGCCGCCCGATCTCAGACGACTGAAAACGGCTTTGTAGACATCTGTCTGATCTATGTGAGGTGCCAGTTTAAACTTGGTCCCCTCATAACCATCTTTAGGTCCTTTCAACTCCTGGTTACCAAAGTTGCCCTGACTGTCGATGTCTTCTCGGCCGGTCAGCTGGAACATAGGAAGCTTCCCTTTGAACGCTCGTTTTGTCCGTATTTCTTCGGGGCCAACGATCTTAGCTATGTCGACGGAGCTTCCAGACTGGCCCTTTACCGAGGGTAGGAATATCATACCGCCCACTTCGGCCTCCTTCTCGAAATCGGTGCCAATGCCGCGTATCAGAGTGGGGTCATTGATAGGGTCGGGCATGTATATGAGACCTTTCGCAGGTTTCGCCTTATCTTGGGCCCGGCCAACAGGAACAGAGCCAGTCTGGCGAGAACCCCAGCCGATGAAGCCATGTACGGATTTCTCAGCAATCAAGAGACCGACACGTCGATTCGCTTCTTGTTTAAGGGTCCGCTGGAGGACCAAGCCGTCGACAAATTGATTGGCATGAGGTGCTGCAACGAACAGAATAGGACCGCTCCTGGGCACACGCCAGGCGCCGCGGGGATGAACTTCGCGGAAGAAGAGGTCTACGAGAACGGAAAATGTATGGAGGAAAGCATCATACTTCCATGAAGTCATGGGATAGAGCTCCTTCTGCGGTTTTTCTTTTGGGGGGTTTGAGGGCGGCTCCCCATTCCCAACTTTGTGGTCCTCTGTCATGGTCGAGGGTTAATCTCGACGCTTGATCGAGGTCTGGGCAGGATGGGAATATGGCGGATCGTGGTATCGTAGAGGGTTGGGTTGTATGATGAGCAAATCAAAGCACGGAGATGGATTGATGGCGCGGGGTCTTTTGCGCTTGGAAGCAGGGCGTATTGTCAGGGAAAGCGCCTTGAGAATGTATGATGGCGAGAGGCTCTCAAACTATCAAAAGCGGGTAGCGAATCGCTACGGCGTGTTGTCAAGGGAGGGAGGAGATCTATGTTGGTCCAGCTGAGATGAGTAGCAGCTTCAATATTCCGCGGGGGTGGGAATCACGAGCGTCATAACTTTGGATGAGCAGCCAATGTCTCGTCTAGAAATTTCCTAAACCTCCCTCCCGGTACCTAAGGTAGCACTACCTAGCCGTACCTGTTATATACCTCCTGTAGTTGCGGTGGTCAGACCTAATCAAAACCTGCCTAGGCTGTTGGTTGCTGAGCCTAGGTACCGCCTAATGCCCTATAGCCAGTACCTAGGCGAGCTAGGCACGCCTAGGGTGGGCCACTACCACAAAGTGCGAAAATAAAAAATCAGGTTAAGTGCGGGGTAAAACTTATTTTCCAACTTTACTTAAGGGATTTAAAAGTTTTAAAAATATAAATAATTATTTAAATAACTACCTATTTTAAAAGTTATATAAATAATCTATAGCTTATATTAAGCATTATAATTATATAAGTTATAGCTTTTAGCTATATAGGTTTATATTGTAAGTCTGTATTGCAGTTTGTATTGCAGTCAGTACTGTAGGTCTGTATTGCAGTCTGTATTGTAGTCTGTATTGAAGGTCTGTATTGAAGGTCTGTATTGAAGGTCTGTATTGCAGTCAGTACTGTAAGTCTGTATTACAATCAGTACTATAGGTCTGTATTGAAGGTTAGTATTGTAGTCAGTACTATAGGTCTGTATTGAAGGTCTGTATTGAAGGTCTGTATTGAAGGTCTGTATTGAAGGTCAGTATTACAGTCAGTACTGTAGGTCTGTATTGAAGGTCAGTATTGCAGTCAGTACTATAGGTCTGTATTGAAGGTCTGTATTGCAGTCAGTACTATAGGTCTGTATTGAAGGTCTGTATTGCAGTCAGTACTATAGGTCTGTATTGAAGGTCAGTACTATAGGTCTGTATTGAAGGTCAGTATTGTAGTCAGTACTATAGGTCTGTATTGAAGGTCAGTACTGTAGGTCTGTATTGAAGGTCAGTATTACAGTCAGTACTGTAGGTCTGTATTGAAGGTCAGTATTGCAGTCTGTATTGAAGGTCAGTATTGCAGTCAGTACTGTAGGTCTGTATTGCAGTCTGTATTGAAGGTCAGTACTGTAAGTCTGTATTGAAGGTCAGTATTGCAGTCTGTATTGCAGTCTGTATTGAAGGTCAGTACTGTAGGTCTGTATTGAAGGTCAGTATTACAGTCAGTACTGTAGGTCTGTATTGAAGGTCTGTATTGAAGGTCAGTATTGCAGTCAGTACTATAGGTCTGTATTGAAGGTCTGTATTGAAGGTCTGTATTGCAGTCAGTACTATAGGTCTGTATTGAAGGTCTGTATTGAAGGTCAGTACTGTAGGTCTGTATTGAAGGTCAGTATTGCAGTCTGTATTGAAGGTCAGTATTGCAGTCTGTATTGAAGATCTGTTTACAGTCAGTACTAATTGCAATATAGACCTATAATACTGACCTTCAATACAGACCTTCAATACAGACTTACAGTACTGACCTTCAATACAGACTTACAGTACTGACCTTCAATACAGACTTACAGTACTGACCTTCAATACAGACTGCAATACAGACCTACAGTACTGACTGTAATACTGACCTTCAATACAGACCTACAGTACTGACCTTCAATACAGACTGCAATACAGACCTACAGTACTGACCTTCAATACAGACTGCAATACAGACCTACAGTACTGACTGCAATACTGACCTTCAATACAGACCTTCAATACAGACCTTCAATACAGACCTTCAATACAGACCTACAGTACTGACCTTCAATACAGACCTTCAATACAGACCTACAGTACTGACTGCAATACTGACCTTCAATACAGACCTTCAATACAGACCTATAGTACTAACTACAATACAAACCTATATAGCCAGAAGCTATAACTTAAATAGTTATAAAGCCTAATATAAACTATAGATTATTTATATAACCTTTAAAATAGGTATTTAAGTAATTATTTATATTTTTTAAACTTTACTTTATACCCTTTATTATATTTGGACCCCTTAGGTAAAGTTGGAAAATAGGTTTTACCCCGCACTTGACCTGATTTTTTATTTTCGCACTTTGTGGTAGTGGCCCACCGTACACGCCACATACAACCTTGGGTCTCTGCTTGGGTCTGCTTACCCAGCTCGGGAAGCCCAGATCCTGGCAGTGGCGTCCCGTTTAAACATGCGATCTGCAGCGACGTTGAAAGTAGATGTACGGTCGCTCCAGTGGAGAGTACTTCAAGGTTGTGGCTTACTTTGTATGGTATCTATCGATGCGGAGCGGTTATAAGTTCAAGTTGATATGTAGATGCAAACTAACTCCCTGCATCACCACTGAACCATTGTCGGGTATCATACCTTCCTACTACTACTAGGCAAGCTCGGCAAGGAGGTTAGGAAGTTTGACCATGTTACAATCAGGACTGGAAATTGAATCGTATGTTGAGGCAGGCAAGGTACTATCACCGTAGATGTGAAGCATACCTACCTAGGTAGGTAGTACGCTTAAGCTGGTCTTCTACTTGGTGCTCGGGTGTTCTCTGTAGTATAGTTCTTGATTCTCATTAAACTCTATCGTCGTAAGGGAGATGGAGACCGGACATGCCGAGTTAAAAAAAAAAAAAAAAAAAAAACTCATCTCATAATTAAATCTCAGTCACGACGATTATCCTATGGATCGTTGGCATGTGACAATGGGGTGATCTAAATTCATTCGTTAAAGTGGATGCCTAGGTACCTAGTCCTCAATGTACTGTAGCTCCTCGTGGGGCCAAGAAGCTCTTCGAAGCTACTTATGGCCTTCCTCACGATACCTTCGCTAACCTACCTACTTAGGTATCCAGTACGATCATTTGCCATTAAGGCAACTAACTCTACTTCTTTGCTTTTCCCTTTCCTTTGCGTCGCTTCTTATCTTCGGGAACCGAGGCGCTGCCCTCTTGTATCTCCCCTTCCGCGAGCTGTCCTTCAGCTTCCATTTCCTTCAGTTTTTCTTGGCCCGAGATGAACATAGTTAAGTCGTGGTTTTGATCCTTTAAATCTGCATTTTCTACCTTCAATGCAGCAACTTGCTGATCAAGATTTTCGACCTCTTTGCTGATGTGCTCGATGCGCTTCATCAGCCCTTCTGAAACCTTTTTCTCCTCCTGGAGGCTCTTGCCTAGGTTTCGCGCCAGGTCTGTCGACTTGGTCCCACGGCTACGCTCGCGTTGCAGGTCCTTCTCAAGTGATGGGATAATCTCGGCCCGCATGTTCTGCTGCTCCACTCTAATCTCCCGCAACTCTTTCTGGGCATCCGAGGCCTGAGCCGTCGCTCTCTCGGCGAGAGCCGATGCCTTGGCTGCTTTGTCGACTGCCTTCGATAACATCTCCTCGAAATAGAGACGTTGACTTTCCAATTGACTCGTAAGAAGATGCGTGTATTCCATCGCAATGTTATCTAATTTAGCTCGGGGCACTACATCCTCGCCTTGGTCTCTGCTCCCTGTTTCGTGGTGTCCAGGAAGATCAACCAGTTTACCATCACCTTTGTCTCTGATTAGCCGGTGAACCCACATATCGCCTGCGTAGTCCCATACGTGCTGAGTAGATAGTTCGAGAGAGAATGTGTGTGCTGTATCTTTCCAATGTCCTTTTGCATGCCCCCCTTTGTATCTACCACACCCTACGTTACCACATATTAGGCAAATCCAAAGGTCTTCAGTGCAGTCACAAACTGAACAGAGGTTGGAAACATTGGATCCGAAAGGTTGTGCGGAAGGCTTTTCTGGTCCGTATGACGTCGTGGAAGTAGCGTTGGGTGACAGATATAAGCCCGTGGTGTTATTCAGTGTGTTTGTATGTCGGCATACAGGGCACCCAGCACCCTGCCATTTCTGGAGGCAGGAACAATGGAAAACGTGCTGACAGAGAATTGTGAGTAGGCCTGTAGTGTCGTCCATTCGCTCGAGGCAAACGGGGCAGGTGGGGAGTTCGATCAGATCGGGCGTCGGCGGTGGGAAGGGCTTCAGAGAATTATACTCTGGCACAGTGGACGGCATGAAGGGATCATGGTTAAGACCTGGAAAACTGGCGTTGGGCGCTGTCTGTGTATCGAAGGTGATGGATCTTATGAAGGCGACATTGCAAGTTTCTGGCTTCAGGGTCGTCAGTATTTGTTTTTGCCATGTAACAGACTTCGGCAGCCATACCTCTACATGGTTAAAGACTCTACCATCAAACTCTTTCCCAAATAACCTGGCTTGTTTGCTATCGCGAAATTTCATGAGGACGAGGTACCGGTTCATTCGACCAGTCATGATCATACGGTAATGGCTGATATAAACCCTCCACTTGTCCCCTATGAAACCGAGAAAATCGCCAGGGGAGAGATAGCTAGGTACCGCCGGAATGCATACGGTTGTACAATCGAGCTGAGCTTGACTTTGGTCTTCCCGTGGCTCTTCTTCAGGCGGGAGACGAAGCTCTGGGGTCTTATTTCCCTCGCGGTATAGATGTACAATACCCCAGCCGAGGTTTGTGTTTTTAGCCGTTCTAAGTGGAAAATACGATGCTTTCGTAGCTTTGCCCGCAGCGCCCATCGACGGGCCGACAGTAGCAGCCGCGGCGGCAATGATAGGCATATCGGTCATGGCGTTGCTATGCCGTTGACCATCTAGGTCGATACTCTCTACTCTGATCTGTGCAAATCGCCAGTCTTTGGTGGCAATATGTGGACCTAAAGATGCAACCGGATGTGGCAACGGCAAATCCAGAGCACTTCGTTGTTGCCGCGGCACGAAAGGACCGGGAATGTCCCCTTCGTCGTGAACTTCAGCGGGCCGGGGCGCGCCGCAATCAATTACGCCGTTATCGATGACCGGATAAGTCGTTGTCGTAAGCTCACTAGATTTAGTATATAGGTTTCGCGCGTGATGGTTGGGCGAGGCGGAATGATCTCGAGGATGTGCCGGGAGCGTATCGAATATGTTCGAACTCTCTCCCGGCAGCCAGATCGTACGAGAAGCCGCCTGAGATCTTGTATCTGCCCAGGTCTTCGGCTGGGGGCTGTTATAAAGCTCCAATTTGATATGATAGAAGTAAGAAGGCATAGCCTATGTGTCAACCTCCTAGGCGCAAGGCTGAATGCGGCTGATCAGACCGCATGCCACCTCGCAAACCAATACAACATGCGAAACTGAAGGTAGCAGAACAGTGTTCATGTCAAGGAGGTAACAGGATCTTGTGGTGGTCCAGCCGCTGAAGCACTGTCATACAAGGAAGCCACATGATCATTACAAGACATAAAATACTGCGGTGCCTGCCTATAGAGACAGACCATAGTGTAGAGGCCCTTTACATAGTATGTACGACTTGGCTCGAAAAAGCTTTGTGTGTCACCTTCGCCCACTAACTACTTAGCACTTAGATAGTTCCATATGACTAACCTGTCGACAGGTTAAAAACGCGGGGTCATCATGTACAGCGGGGCTAGTCTTACGCTTGTCAGGCTACGGATCATATCACGCTACGTAAATGGAACCGCCATCTTGTTATCAAATGAAGCTCTTCATTTATCTAAATTGGCTCGTTTGATTCACGAACCTGCTGATGGCCAGAGACGGCCAGGAATGATCCTATGTAGTACAAACTAACGACTCCGAATTACAGAGTCATGTCCATTAACGCCATACCGTATCGTGCAGTTATCATCATTACCCCCAGCCGGCATAATTGCCACTACTGACCGCCACGGAGACGGAGGACCAGGTGGAGAGTAGACTCCTTCTGGATGTTATAATCGCTCAGAGTGCGGCCATCTTCCAACTGCTTACCAGCGAAGATGAGACGCTGCTGATCCGGAGGGATACCCTCTTTGTCCTGGATCTTGCTCTTCACGTTATCAATAGTATCCGATGATTCCACTTCCAATGTGATGGTCTTTCCTGTCAATGTCTTGACGAAGATCTGCATACCACCACGTAGACGAAGAACCAAGTGCAGAGTTGACTCCTTCTGGATGTTGTAATCACTCAAAGTCCGGCCGTCTTCGAGCTGTTTGCCAGCGAAGATAAGTCGCTGCTGGTCCGGGGGGATACCTTCCTTATCCTGAATCTTGCTCTTTACGTTGTCGATAGTATCTGAGGACTCGACTTCTAATGTGATGGTCTTTCCGGTCAGTGTCTTGACGAAGATCTGCATACCACCACGGAGGCGCAACACAAGGTGGAGAGTGCTCTCCTTCTGAATGTTGTAGTCGGAAAGGGTTCGTCCGTCTTCAAGCTGCTTGCCGGCGAAGATCAAGCGCTGTTGGTCCGGAGGGATGCCCTCCTTGTCCTGGATCTTTGACTTAACATTGTCGATAGTGTCAGATGACTCCACCTCCAATGTGATGGTCTTGCCGGTGAGGGTTTTGACGACTGGGAGCATGAGTATTAGTGACTGCCGAGAAACATAACTAAATGCTACGAGTATTGGGAATACCTACAGATCTGCATGCCACCTCGCAAACGGAGCACAAGATGGAGGGTACTCTCCTTCTGAATGTTGTAGTCGGACAGAGTACGACCATCCTCAAGTTGTTTTCCAGCGAAAATCAAGCGTTGCTGGTCGGGGGGGATGCCCTCCTTGTCCTGGATCTTGGACTTGACATTGTCGATGGTGTCGGAAGACTCCACCTCCAAGGTGATGGTCTTGCCAGTCAGCGTCTTAACGAAGATCTGCATGGTGGCGATCGTGTGATGGATGATAGGGAAGCGCTGTAATGAGATGGATGTGATGGTGGATGATGAAGAGGTGTGTCTGCAAAACAATGGTGATGCCTGGATGATGGTGAGGAGTAGGTGGGAAAGAAAGGATTAGAGGAGCAGAAGTGAGAGAGGGAGATATATAGGTACTTGCTGAGGTGTGACTGCAACCTGAGTGACCGACCACAGGAAGGGGCGGGAGGCGCAGTTCGCCTGGCAGGCGCGGGTTACTATGGGCAATGCGCAATGGAAGCCTTGGGAACAGGCGAGAAGGTGGGGAAAGACAGTGGCTGCTGGCCAATGGCGGGCTGGGAACCGCGGGGTGATTCATCAGCAGTCCAGTGGAATGCCTGGGGCAGTAATGGGCAGTACTGGGTTTACTGGGTCTAGCAGGGGTGCTAAGGCGGCGAACAGCGCTAAATGACAGGTAATAGCGGGGGAAACCGCGTGAAGAGGCCAGACCCTACCAGCAGTCGCAGTAGGTACTATTGCGAGTCTGTGCGAGGCAATGAGTCCCTTCAATGGATTCTTTGAATGCGACAATGTGTTCCATCTAGTCACTCAAGCGTAGGAAAATTCCTTCGTATTGTGGCGTTTTAGATATTGAGAGACGGTCGTTACCTACTGTTTCCGGCCTCTTCTTCTTCTGCATTACTAAGATCGCAGACACCGAGCTCCGAGGGAGCGAACGTAGTCCGGAGGGATGACGCTATCTCTCTGTAGACGTCATGTGTTCATTGCGGGAGATAAGACCAACAGGGTATCTATCAATCCTAAACCAAGCCTGATTCTGTTGGCGACGGGGCCTGGCCTTAACCGCTGGGCTCCCCAACATACCTAGCCTACCTACCTACCTACATGCACTGATATGCCAACACTCAAAAATACCAACAGAGGCCATTGTGACAATAAGTATATCGGATTGTAGTCAATAGAAGTAGACATTCTAGAGCTTGGATATGGCCATAGCATTGGCTCGGCTCCCGTATCTACTAGTTACATGTATTCCCCATCCCTCAAGCGTTTCACGTCCTCACAAATGACAAATGATGTTCTCTCCCCTTAGCAAATGGGTTTGAAGCTATCAATCACAGATTAGTTATCACGCTCGGTAACCACCCGAGAACAAAACCCATAAGTCTGTTGTTAGAATCTTGAAAAGGATAGAGCCATGGCCTATGACTTGCGAAATCTCCAAAACCATCCTCTCCTAGGTGCTCATACCTAGCTATAGACGTGTCTTCAGCCTCAAGATGCGCCGCTGATCGGCGAGGGTCGGATTAAATATAAAACGAAACTATACCTGTTCCTGAAGTGGCTTTTTTTTTTTTTTTTTTTCAACAGACCTCGCGGAAAATATACATCACAGGTCTGCACGGGGTATCTATTCGGAGTGGCGGTAGACGGCTGGGCTTAGGTAAGAGACCTGGGCGCATTCGAGTAACCTGTTTCCCGTCACTCAGCAAAATAATGGGGAAGTCGACGATTGCACCTTAGTCCGGAAACGTACCTGTACAACCGAATCAAAACCAGCTACCTATAATTCTTTCAAAATCAAATAGCATTCTGTTCACCAGCCCATGTACTAGGTACTAAATGACCTTCTGTCTTAGGTTGAACCCGCCTCAAAGTAATCCATCTGGCACTGAGGCTTGTTTACAGTACCCGCCTTACCTTACGTCATGTCAGCCCGCCAACCATCTAAGTATCCGTAAGAGGTTATTCGACCTTGTCTGACGTTGGAAGCTTTTCCCAATTCAGGCTTGGGTTTTACTATTGGCAATTCGAAACAGGTAGTCAAAAGGTCCCTCCATATCCGTACTTGTGGACCGGAACATATCTGAATCTGGTATCGCATTTTCATAAGAAACCCCTCATTAACCAGCTCGGTATACTTATCCTTATATGGGTATGTGTACTACGTAGGTACTAGGTATAAGCAATCCTGCACCTGGAACTAGTGGGTACAGGTACTCAGGGGCTGGAGGAGGAAAGTCAGCGCAACGGTGTCGAGGCAGACACACGAACAGCAACCCGGATTCAACCTAACATTTATACAGTTGATTAAAAGGCACAGCGACGCCCAAGAGATCAGCTGCATACAATGGCCATTTATACATGTACTCCTATACTGATATACTATACTACTTATGTATATGGCTGCAGTTAGATTGTCACTCCTGTCTGATTGTGCTAAGTAGAGCTCCAGGCCTTACTAGCAGCATAACTTGCAGGAAGACTAACTACCTACATGCTAAGACTTATGAATAGCGCCAGGTTTCTCACTTGCAGATAACTAGTACTTACCTCTCGCCTACCTGAAGCAATCCGCCTCTGAAAGCCCCATCCCCCTAACAATTGCGTCTGCATGTGTGGGCAGTCTATCCGCCTAGGCAAGTAACTAAGGCAAGCGGTCAAAGGCGAAGGATAGCCGGCATCAGACCATACACCACACCGACATTCTGCGCTGTAACAATGCGCATGAACAAGAGCGCCTGGCTAAGGTATGTATCATGGGCAATCCCAGACTCTTGAAGTTAACCACCTACCTAAGAAGGAGGACATAAGTCCAAGATAGGTAGATCGGTAGAGGGGCAAAGTGCCTATGTATCTGTCCTTGTTAAGAGCTTTTAGGTAAGTTGTAGGCGGGTTGGTAGATAGGCAGGTTCCTATCTGATAGGCACGGGCGTGCGCCCAAGGGTCCACCAAACACGATGTTCTATCCTTGAATCGTGGATAGCGACGCAGGGAGGCAGCTACTGAACCATACGACCGCATCATGAGAACCAAAAACCAACACGATTATCGTATTCCCATGCAGGAATTTCTTAAATATTTTATGTATATATATATGTTGGGCTCCATCAACGTCCACAATCCTAATGCCAGGTAGTCAGTCAGTCAATCAATCATACGAGCGTTTAGGAGATGAAAAAGATCTTCATCTTCGACAACACATTACTCTGATAATCCAGATCCTCTGCTCACCACTGCGCAGATGACGCCAAGATCCTCCAAAAAGGGCACTAAAGCGTAATTATCGTATAGCAGTAGGTAGGTAAGTAAGTAAGTAAGTAAGTACCTACCTTTCGAAGGCATTACACAGCGCAGGTAACGCACTGGATACGCCCCATCTCCGAATACCGGACGGGATAAGGTCGCAATGTCCTGCATTGCCGAAAGGAAGGAAGAGAAAGACGTGAGATGTACCAATCGAGCATGATATGATTTCCGTGCCGCCGCTGCAACCATAGGTAGTTTGCTAAGTAGGCTAGGGTAACATCCAATCTCCCCCCAGCGCTTGGAGAAACAAGGCAAAAAAGACTTTACATAGTATAGCATTAGGTAACCTTGAGGCATGTCGTCTCACAGCCTTTCCCGCCCAGCGAGACTTCGATGCATGTGGTGGGTTGCAGTATCTCACACGTGGACCTCAAAAAACTCGCACATATTCGTAGGATCCGTCCACAGGAAAACGACCATTGCATATGTGATCGGGCGGCACAATAGCACATAGAATCACAACACCTCTATGATTGACAATGCAAATCATTATATTTCATTGTAGATCGTGTCCATCGTACACGCTAAAATAGAACGAGGTATCGATCAGAGAACAAAGTTCTGCAGTACAAGATATTTTGTCATAAAACTATTCCCCCGTTCTTCAGGGTTACCGCGGCCATCCTTGGCCTGTCCTCTGAAAACAAAGCTCGAGTAGGCCCCCTTCCCTATGTAATCTATGCATCTTAGAACGCTTCCGCTTGCATATGTTTCTCATCCCATAAAAATGGTCGAATCATGATCCATGAGCCAATCGTGATAAAATAACTCGTTTTTTTTTCTTTCGCGCTTGCGCGTTTTGGTAGTAAAAATTCAAATCTCGACGAAAAATTGCGGTTCATACAATCGTTGAATATTGCCATCAAAGAGGTCGTAAATTCGGAGCAACGTGACGTTAGTCTCGCTTGTATTCATGAATGACATGGGCGTAAAAACATCGCATGCGTGAAAACGTGGTGACCAGCCAAGTGAGAGTGCTTAAGTTTTTAAAAAGTAGGTACGTGGAATCGACAGTCGGTATGGTACTTATCATGAAATGATCATGTCCACATATAACGCCGTCGCTAAATGTATCGAGCAGTTTGCACATACGAAGGAAATAACGACGCAAAACAAAGGAAATATTCTTGAGCGCACAACTGCGTCTGGTGCGCCATCTCTCTTAGTTGGATTTAATCACCAACTTGGAGAGGAACTTGTTCGCCAATGAGTCAAAGTCATACCGGTCGAACTTTGACGTGTTTCTTGATCGTAGATATGACTCTGTTGCTTGATTAGTTGATATCGACCTCTGGAGATGCTGGGTTACATACCATGCTTCAATACGTGTTGTCTCACTTCTGTCATAGCTTCACAAACAGCAGGATTGTTATTTAATACGTGGCCATGTCGTTGCGTGTCCCAGTCAATCAATGCTGGAAGCTTTTGCGAGATGGCATGGAACAGGCCGGTGATCACACCAACAGGAGTCGACTCCATGTCAGTGCAAAACTTCTCCACCGCAACCGGGTCAGGAACCCGATAGTGGCAATCGAACTGCATCTCCTCCCAAACCGCCAAAAGGATGCAAGCGAGCATGAAAATGGTAGGCCAGTTCTTGAGGCGGTCGCCACTGTAGACGCTTGAGTACAGTGCTGAAAGCTCCTCGAGAATGTCCTTCTGAAGCTCGCGCCACATGTCGGCCATAGCACACTTGATCTGGAAGTTGATCATAACAGGGGCAACATATTTTCCGTAGTACTTGGAATCCTCGTCGTCAATCTGGCCCTCCATAGCCTGTTCCGAACCTGGTTGTTCCACTAGCGTAATGTGCAAGGTCAAATTGTAGGCTAGGACAAGCTTCAAAGCTTTGCGGATGACAGGGGATTTCTCCTTGTTATAAAATCGGTAGGCAGTCTTGAAAATTTCTGTGACGAATGGTGTGCCTTCAAAATGATCATCGATGAAGTTTTCGAAGCCATTTTCAATATGCTTGTCAAGATACTCGGCAAGAGCTTCAGTATTAATACCTCCTTCACCTACGTCAAGCCTCTCAGTCTTGAGCTCAAACTCGATAGGCTCCTGATCCGTCTGGTAGGACTCGACCCAGTCGACTTGAAAACAGCTGTCATCGGCAACAAACACTTCACGGACCATGACAGGCAGGCAAAACCCATAACCATGGGTAATCCACATCAGTGTTTCTTTTTGAGCGAAGCCTTTCACGTTATAAACGGAAACGCCACGGCCGAGATGTCGCTCATAATCAGCTTTCCAATCCTTCATGAAGTAGCCAATGTCTTTGATGTCAATACGAGTGCATGGTACTTGCCAGAGACGAGCATGCGAAGGCTGACAGCCGCCACATGGTTCGCCCTTGTCACAAGTCTTTTTAAGGAATTTGCATCGAAGACAAGCTCGGAGTTTTCTAATTTCACTGGCTTGCTTGCGCTGCTCAGGGAGCAACGGGCCCTTTCTGCGACCAACTTTCTTCTCCACTGTGCCGTCCTTCTTCCCGTTCGATGTCCGCCTAATGACCGACTTCGTGGACTTGGCTATCGGGCTTTTCTTAGGGCCCGAATTCCTGCGGGCAGCTGTGTTGTGAGGTGGTGACGCAACACCAGATCCACTGGCATGGCAAGGGCGTGTAGAGCTTGTTGCCGCTTTGATCGGCACGGGAGCAACAGCTGCAGCCGGGCTGATGATCTCGTGTGAGTGCGAGGTTTCGCCGTGGAAGCAATTTCGGTGGTTAGAGGGATCCGAGTATGTGTCAGATTCCGGAGAAAAGGGTGAATAGTTAAATGGAATCTCCTCGTAGCTGCTGCCAAACTCAAGCTGGCGGTTGCTATCCGAGTGCGAAGCGTCAGAGTTGGTGCGCAGATGGAGCGTCTGGCTAGGATTGAATATGGCTGCAGAGTTCTGAGCTTGAGCGTGAGCTTGTTGGTAGGTTTCATAATTTTGGTACATCTCAACTTGGGACCAGCCATTGTCGCTTGACCCTGGCAGAGACAATACTTCTAAGTAGGTGCCTGTGGGTGACTGGCTTCCCAGACTACCTCCAAATCGGGGAAGACCATCCGCAGGGTATTGCAACGAGTTGCCGAAATCTTGCCAGTTTCCCATGCTCATCCCCCCATCCCACTGCTGCAAACGGCCGTCTTCTATAGGCGATACATTGACAAAACTTTGATCCATGGCGAGCCCAGACTCTAAAGCAGCCTGTGTGGCTGCTGGCAAGTACTCAATCGCATTGGTCTGGAAGCCCGCACCGAAGGGAAAGGGCATTAACGCAGCCTCTTGAACAAAATGCGACAGATCCTGGACCGGAGGATGCTGTTGCTGGTGTTGAAGCAGGGACCAGTCTGTTAGAAGAGCTGTGGCAGGGCCCGGTTGAGTAACAGCCGCCTGGTAGGGCGAATGCTGTAAGGGGCTGGAGTTCACTTGTGTGGGCGAGTGCGTCTGCGAGTGCGTATGCGAGTGTACGTGCGAGTGTTGCGAAAGAGGAGACTCGCCTGGCGAGGATGCATTGGAAGAATTACTCGATGTGGTGTTCTGGCCAGCAACACCAGCAGCGTTGGCGGGTGTCATGTCAAGTCCCATAGCCCAAGGGTTCTGATGCCGGGTTGGAGTCATGGCTGTGGCCGATATGGCGGGATTGGTGGCCCGGGTGGTGGTGGTGTATGGATAACGGTCCCGGTGGTCGAATGAAGTCGTCATGTCCAGCAGCGCATCTCCCCCCGCGGTATTGAATTCGAGGGTCATTGTTGTCAGTCAGAAGCAGTAAAAGGGAGGAAGAATGAGTGGGAGGATTGGAGGAGAATGCCGCTAGTATTATGATCTTGACGAGGGGACACCGCTCTTTTGTTGAGATCCCTCTCGACCTTGGGGGGGAAGAAGGGGAAGTTGGGATGTGGAGGAAGTGAGATTGTACGGCGATGGTCGAGTGAGATCGAGTGTATGACGGGAGGCTTGGGGGGGGAGAAAGGGCATCTCCGGGCGGGCAACAGACTGGACACAGAGGAGGTTAGCTGTGCGAGCAGTGTGCGAGTACAGACTGGAAACTGGCGGTGAGAAGCGCATTTGCTGGCGTCGCCGTCCCACCTGCAAGCTGCATGTCGCTGCATGGCTCTAGCTCGCCGCCCAATAGAAGGCCGGCCTCGCAACCCACAGCATCCAGCATCCGTCCACTCGATGCTCAACATCGTGGGGCTGGGCGAGACAGACATGGGTAGAGCCGACAGGGACCCATGTCGCGATGATTTGTGGAGGGTGGCTGGCAGACTACCCTTGGGCCATGGTCCTATGGGCTTCTGCTAAGGGTTACTCACAGTAGCCTATAGTACTGTTGCCATTCACATAGGTATCATACCTAGTACCTCCATCTCCATGATAGTGTGTGTACTGCATCACACCACTGAGCAGATACTGACGAGACGGGGTCGTAAGTACTGTAGGACATGACGATATTTGTGTCCACATACTACTTCGTAGGTATGTAGGAGTAGTATGTAGGAACAGTACGAAGTACGTGGAGGAGACGCCGGGCCTCATTGGCTGCATTTGCTTCCTATTTGGGCCAACCCATGAGCCGTCCTCTGCCCCAAGCGCCACCTGCCACCGTCCCATGGCCAGCCCGTCGCCACGTCGCTAAGACTGAACCAACCGCCGGACACTGTGTGCGGTACTTGATCTTAGTGCCTGCTCTAACACGGTGTGGCCGCCAATCAGCTGCCGACCTGAGCCCCTGTGTCTTCCCAGGTTTGGCTGTGTCTAGCTGTGTCCCGTCTTGGACTTGTCTCGTAACAACAACTGACTGAACAGTCTGAGTTCTATCTATTCAAATCGACTGATACACCCGGTATCCAGAATCATCAGTTTGTCGTTGCGTGCTCAACTACCTATCTTCAGTCATTGGTGCTTTTCTTTGTCGGCTTTCGTAGGGGTCACCCGTCTTCCCCGCACCGTACTTACCAAACCTCTCAGCATGACGCGCTAATTAGGGGTTCTCAACGTTTCTGTGTTCCAGCAGGTGGTGGTACCTCAATCAACATTAGACGACTGCCAGGCCCCGACTGCACGGGCTACTGTAACACTACGGGCTCTGCTTCTAGGTGCTCTGTAGGTACTATGGGAATCTGTAAACCACGGTGCACAAATCGCGGGCAGATGTTTGTTTGATAGACAGCTAGTGTAGCTGATATGGCCTGGTCCGGCGGGTCTACGATCCATACCAGGGCGGGCAATATACATAGTATATCAGACTCAATTGCCTACGCTACTTCTTTGACTAAGGTTAAGCAATGACTACACGTATGAGGGATCGTGAAGCCGTTAGAAAGACATGCGTATGCCGTGGGAGATATTTAAACAGGGACTACCTATCTAGGGTAGATATTGCGTACTGCCGTGGCAACGTCTCATGAGGAGAGACTGGAACGACGTCACCTTGCGAAAGCGGGCGCTGTTTCGGTAATTACATACCATAACGATCTTACGTACTCTCTATGTAGTACTGGATTACCATCATACTACCTACCCTAGGTACGCAATACATAGACTGACTCTTACTATAGGTACTCAGCAGACCAAGCGAGCCAAGGTAGTATTGAGGGGGAGATCTGCTGTTAACCAGGCACTGTACTTAGAACAGAAAAGGTTGGATTTCCTATATACATAGTAGTGTAGAGACTGTTCAAAGAGATAGATCTGCCCTGCTCCTCTACCGTAGAATCCTTACCGCGTGTAGGCTAGATAGACTATCGGCATATCTACACCATGATCTGCTCATCGCACGACAAAGCATTAGGTGGAACATGAAAACAACCTCGGCGTCTCGCGGGCCCAGGTTTACGCAGCACATATCGTATGAAGGAACACTCAAAACGGTGTTAGAGCAGGGACAGGCCACCAGGACAGACGATCTCTACGAAGTAGGTACCCGTTGGGACTCCACTTCCGTCGCCAACTTTCTGACTTCCAGTAGAAGCGTTGGGGTCTTTGACTTGAAAATGACCAGTTGACTTGATAAAATCCGGCGGTACTTCCAAATTGGTACAATACCTACCAAAATAGAAGTAGTTCTTAATTTATATATATATATACTACATTTATACTTTTTACTTAAATGTTAAAAATATTACTACCCTTATTAAAATTATTAAGTTAATTAATTTTTTAAGTTTATATCTTTTAATATAAATAACTTTATATATATTTTATTAATAATTTTATTATTATATAAATTAAATAGTTCTTTTTTTCCTTAAGTTAATTTAAAGCTATTAAATATATTAAGCCTTTTATTAAAAGAAATATTATTAAATTATTATTTATATTTAAATTTACCTTTAAAGATAATTATATTAATAGTTTTATAAATAATACAGCTCCCATTTAACCTGGCTACCTAATTGAGCTAACCACCCCCTACCCTATATAAAAATCCAATGTTTCAATCTGGAATAACTTAACCAGAATTAGTCCTATAATTTAATAATTAATACTATTAGATCCGTTATTTAATAAGGAATTTAGCGGTATTTTTTACTATTTTTTATAAAATTTATTAAGCGAAAGATTAAGCAATACGTTAAATGGGCGCTAGGTAAGGATTATTTTAACGCTTACTGTAACGTATTACTTAATAACTCTACGAATATAAGTTATATAAATTTATAAAGGATACCGTTAAATAGCTCTTTTTATTATAAATCTAATAGTATACTTTGTTATTTTATACAATTAATATTCGTAGAGTTATTAAATTATTATATAATTAGCGTACCGACGTTTCTTATATAGGCTAGGGGGGTAGCCAACTCAATTAGGTAGCCAGGTCAAATGGAAAATGCGTTAGCTCCTATAGTTATTTAATAATAATAGCCTTTTTTATTTTAAATTAATAAATAAAATAATATTATTAAAATAATTAAACTATTTAAAAGTTATAAAATTATTATTTTAATTATTTTTTAATAAATAAATAATAATATTATTTTTAAGGTTATTTATATTAAATTTTTTAAAAACCTTTATAATTAAAAGAATAATTTAATAAAAAATAATATTATTATTTATAAAAATATATTTAATAATAATAATAGGAATTTATATTTTTAAATTTATAAGTTAACGTATCTCCCACTTAACCTAGCCACCCAATTAACCTGGCCACCCCCCTAGCCCATACAAAAAACGTCGGTACGCTAATCATATAATAATTTAATAACTTTACAAATATTAGCCGTATAAAATAATAGAATATACCATTAGATTCGTAATAAAAAGAGCTATTTAACGGTACTCTTTACTAACTTTTACAACTTATATTCGCGGAATTATTAAGCAATACGCTAAAGTAAGCGCTAAATTAATCCTTACTTAGCGCCCCTTTAGCGTATTGCTTAATATCTTGCTTAATAAATTTTGTAAAAAATAGTAAAAAATACCTTTGGATTCCCCTTAAACTAACGGATTTAACGGTACTAATTATTAAACCGTACGATTAATATTTGTAAAGTTATTAAAGATTGAAGTAATAGGATTTTATATAGGTTATTGGAGTGGCCAGGTCAAGTGGGAGATGCGTTACTTTAAAAAAATAGCAGCAATAATATAATATTAAATAAAGCCTTAAAAATAGCCTTACAATTAACATTATAACAATTAATCCTTTAAAGTATATATATAAATTTATATTAATTATAATTTATAATTAATAAATTATTAAAAATTAAAGTAAAAGAAGATTAAAAACCTTATTATTATTTTATTTATAACTATTAATTATTTTATAAGGTAAAGGTAAGGTTATAATTATTATAAAAAAGGTTAATTAATAATTATAATAATTTAAAAGTATAATATAAAGCTTTTAATATTTATTATAAAGATAATAATATTATAGTTAAATTTTTATATAATATAAATAAAATTAACTTTTAAATTAATATTATTAAAAGTATTATTATTTAAACCTATTATAAAATTAAAGACCTATAATGCAACTCCCACTTAACCTAGCTACCCAATTGACCTGGCCACCCTAATAACCTATATAAAATCCTATTGTTTCAATCTTTAATAACTTTACAAATATTAATCGTACAATTTAATAATTAGTACCTTTAAATCCGTTATTTAGAGGGGAATCCAACGATATTTTTTACTATTTTCTATAAAATTTATTAAGTAAGATATTAAGCAATACGTTAAAGGGGCGTTAAGTAAGGATTAATTTAACGCTTACTTTAATATATTGTTTAATAACTTTATAAATATAAGTTATAAAAGTTAATAAAGGGTACCGTTAAATAGTTCTTTTTATTATAAATTTAATAATATATTTTATTATTTTATATAGCTACTAACGCATCTCCCACTTGACCTGGCCACCCAATTGAGCTGGCCACCCCCCCAGCCCATACAAAAAACGTCGGTGCGCTAATCACGTGATAATTTAATAACTTTACGGATATTAGGCGTATAGAATAATAGAATATACCATTAGATTCGTAATAAAAAGAGCTATTTAACGATACCCTCCATTAAATTTTACGATTTATATTCGTGGAGTTATTAAGCAAAACGCTAAAGTAAGCGTTAAAATAATCCTTGCTTAACGCTACTTTAGCGTATTGCTTAATATCTCGCTTAATAAATTTTATAAAAAGTAGTAAAAAATACCTCTGAATTCCCCTTTAACTAACGGATTTAACGGTATTAATTATTAACTTGTACGATTAGTATTCGTAAAGTTATTA